ATAGAGCAAAATAGTTACGTTGATTATTATGTATTTTTGGATTTTTTATATTGATACAATATGTTGAATGAAATTAGGTCTTTATAAACCAAGATCATATTAGGTAACACAACTAGCTAACCTATTGAAATGATAGTTTTGGAGTAGTTGATCTAGTATTAGAAGCTATTTAGATATACGTTGATTTTGTGCATGTTGAATACTTGTGTAGAATGATTTTTGCTAACAAATAGCAACCAAATAATAAGCATGTACTAGGGTTTTGATTCTAATTACTTATCCAAAAAAATAAAAGGTATCCCGCTAGTAATGACACATAGAAAAAAGTAACCTATATTGTTTTGTGAAGCTAATTTTTAATAGTTCGGCCCTACTCGTCAATAATGTTTAGGAGATGATCTTTCGAGGAAGAAGGATGCCTGCAATATAGAATAAAACTACTTTCTATAATTAAAGAAAAATCTCAAAAGTAGAAGAATGGACACACACACGCACACGTGTGTTGAGGCGGTACCAAATAATTGTAATCATTGTTTTTGTCCGGCTAAATGATAGATACTTAATTTTGGATTCTAATGAGGGTTATTATCCTTGTTGAAGGTTGAAGGCTGAGATATTCAAATTAAGGAAAATCATCACATATTGAGTTGGTGAGTTTAGTTGGTAAAATTCAATCAAACTTGAGAGGGAAAAGAATGTGTGTTGTGAAATCAATCTTAGATATGCATCCTGGGTATATATTTGAAAAAAGGGTTTGGAAGTGTTCATTCTTGCAAGGGTAAGGAAATATTTGACCACTAAAATCTGGACATAACCAACTTAAAAAATACTTGATGATTAGATTGAGTATGTGCATACACATCGATCAAGCGTTGAATAAGTAAATAATTAGTTTTAGTTGCATTAATGAATTTTATATATATTATCTAATGATTTCAATACTTGATGTGAGTTTGGAAAAGATTTTTAATGTCTATATGATTTCTTTTTTTTGTTTGCTTGTGTGTTCAATAAATAGTCTTGCTTGGAACGAACAAGGGTTTAAATTTTGGGGGTATTTGGTAAGTACATTTTTTGCATTTATTCGGACTTCTATTCTTATTTAATTATACATAAATTGAATGATTGCCTATTTAGTTTATGTAGATTATGTTAATTATAGGAAAAAAAACCAACTTAGATACAATTGGTGAAAAAAAAAAGGCTATTTGGATTTGAAGCAATTAGAAGTACTTATGGAGCATTCGGAAAAACTCAAAAGTTTTGAAAGTTAAATTTGAAATTTGAAAAGTCTTGGGATAGATTGCAAACCTTTGAAACAAGGATCAAATTTAATTACAAGTGATTTTGGGATAAAGAAGACTTAATTGAAAATATTGGAAAATGAAGGACTAAAGGTACACGAGAAAAGGTGTTTAATTAAAAAAAGGGAATCATTTTCTTTTTGTTCTCACATTCTTTGTGCAAAACTAATTTGGACAAGGAACTAGTTTAAATCTTGTTTTATAAATGCATGCCTTAGTCCAACAATTGAAAAGAGTCTTATGGGATTTTAGGAAAAATTGTAGCAGAGGATCCAAACCTTTAAAATATTAGCAGATTTTTTTCAAAACTTTAATTTGTTGCAACCATCACCACAAACCTTTCGAAACGTTGTGGCAAAGGCCCTTTTCGATGGTTTTCATCAAAATGTCTATTAGTTGACTAAGAATTTTAACTTTGACCATATTTTTAACATTTTTGAAAGGGTAAAATAGTAACTTCCATTTATTACATTAAAATAAGTGAGCAATTAAATTAGAAAAAAGTAAGAAATTTAAAAAAAAAAGAAGCCAGTCGTCTTCTTCACCCCACCCCACCCCACCCCACTCCATCCCACCATACAAAATCTCTCTGTACAGCAAATCCTCCAAATCCGAAAGGTTGAGATTATTAAAACAGATCCATTTTTGTTACCTAATCGTCGACCTTTTGGGATCCCTTAATCAAACCAACTCAAGTCTCATTGAGAAAGGCTGCTAAAACTATCTACTCTGGGCAGCTGATGTGCTTAACTTCACCTCACAACGAGACAATCATAAAATCATCAAACGAAAAACTAGATTCTGCCTGTAGTGACCAAACATACACCGCTTTTATAGATTTTTTTTTCTTTTTTAGAGCTGTGTTATGCAATTCTACACTTCGTGTTTGTCATATTCGTCATCTACTCTCGACTCTGCAAATGTTGTCCTACATTCGCTATGAAATTACTGCTAATGATCTGTTTTCCTATTTCAGAATTAGCTACCTGGAAATTTTCAAAGTAG